GCAGGAAGGCAAATGAACTCAGTTACAGTAGTGATGAGTGCATCATAAGAAAGGCTGAAGAAGGTTAGGGACAGATATGGATAAAATTTATGTAATTGCTTAAGAGTCAAAAATAGTAATCAAATCAAATATCTCTATACTTTGGGGCCAATAATTGTGTGTGTGTGTGTGTGTGTGTGTGTAGATATATAATTAGAGTTGCTTGACAGCAAAATGAGTGGCGTATACATTTAATAAATAAATATTGTTTAGCACAGTGGTTCTCAACCTGTGGGTCGGGACCCCATTTGGGGTCGAATGACCATTTCACGGGGGTCGCCAAACAACGCAGTCCGCCATTTTTTTCCCCTTTTCCTTAGCTGTGCTACTCCCTTTTATTCTATTGGCTTTTGAAAGCCAATAGAATAGACTCTCTTGAATAGAGTCTAATTCTATTGGCTTTCAAAAGCCAATAGGAATTGTCCAGGCTGTCTCTGCCCTGCTGAGCCCGCCAAAAGTCCCATTCTGCAAACGGTGCTGCACCAGTTGAGTAGTCCTCGACTTACAACCAGTTGAGTAGTCCTCGACTTACGACCGGGTGGGGGGTCACGGCATTAAAAAGGTTGAGAACCACTGGTTTAGCAGATGGCTTGGTATAGTGGAAACAATGTACAGAACACTAAAGATGGACTGTAAATTTTCTACGTATTTGAATGATCAGTATTTGCAGGAACTAAAATAAAGATAAGCTTTACTTAGGGAATAATATAGTGATTAGAAAGTTACTAAAATTCCATTAGTACTGCTTACATCTCCATTTAGGAGAGAGAGAACAAGTCGGACGAGAACCTGAACTGTACAGGTTAGAGTCCAAAGAAAAATAAATGAACTGAGGGAGGAAGACAGTGATGGAAACTCTGAAAAAAAAAACATCAATTGAATCAATAAGAGACATGTAACATGAAAAGTAAGTCATTTAGGCAAGAATGGGCGATAAATTGCAGAATCCTTCAGGTAGCTCTATAGTTAATGTCACTAGTAGTCAGTAGTTTTCTAGGGGCCAGTCAATGCAAAGTTGAACTTCAATGTGTTTAATCATGGTTAGTTAAATAAGCCACGATTAGCTGTTTCACACATACTAAACAACAAATAACAATTTATACACAAGTGTGTTCTTGTAGCAAAAGCCAAACCATAATATGGTTTAGTCAGTGCAATGGGTAATTCTAAAGTCTGGGTTCAGCTTTATGGCTAGAACAGGTGTGTCAAACTCGTGACATCACGTGACGTCGCACGACGTATCGGAGCTTTTTCTCCATTACTGGCAATGGGGTGGGCGCGGTTTCCGCGATGCATCCAGCCCATGGGCCGGCAGTTTGACACCCCTGGGCTAGAAGGCATCCAAGCATTGTGTACCTCAAAGCAGCAATATGGGATGTAAACTAAATAACATACAGGTGGACCTTGACTTGAGCCGAATATTTCTGTTGCTAAATGAGACATTTGTTAAGTGAATTTTGCCCCATTTTATGACCTTTCCTACAACAGCTGTTATGTGAATCACTGCAGTTGTTAAGGTATAGTAACACAGCTGTTAAGTGAGTCTGACTTCCCCATTGACTTGGCTTGTCAGAAGGTTGCAAAAGGGGATCACATGACGCCCCCCCGGGATACTGCAACCATCATAAATACGAATCAGTTGCCAAGTATCCAAATTTTGATTACGTGACCATGGGGAGGCTGCGATGGTCATGAATGTAAAAAATGGTGATGTTACTTTTTTCAGTGCCATTGTTAACTTCAAACTGGTCACTAGATGAACTGCTGTAAGTTGAGCACTACCTGTATTTCTGTAATTTAGATTCTTAGCTACTTGACAGAAATCTAACTCTGCTCTGAGTAATAGTTCTGGCTTCGTGGTGTCCTTTCCGCCTTGTAGTTTTATTCAATATAAATATATATGAAAATGAATGAAAACTATATGGAAATGAATGGAACAAAATACTGTTTGTCTGCTGTGATGTTTAAAGGGATCTGCATATTTTTGTTTAGTATTATTTAATTAGTGACTCATTTGTTTTAACCTTTATTTACCAAACCAAGCCAGGCAACTGAATTTAATACTTCTTTCAACAGTCAGTAACATAGAAATAACAATGTTTTATCTTTGATAAAATATTTAATTCTGAGATGTAAACATTCACTTCTATTGTGTTTTATTAAAATACTCGAGATACACACACACACACACACACACAATTTTGACAGATTAGCCAGTGGCTCACTTTGACAAATTCAGCTTATTCTCAAGTAGTTTTCTCCAACTGGATGTCCACTAGATGTATTGGTCTTCCACTTTGACCCAAATCAGTATTGAACCATTGAAACTGGCAATGATAGGGGTTTGTTGATTTCTATAAATGTATAAGATTTATAAAAGAGTTGAATGCTACTAACATCCTCTTTGTTTTCTTCAGTGAGGATTCATTATAAAAGCTGTTGCCACAACAATAGCTGCTAGTAGAGCAGATGATGTGTTGTGAGTTAAATATTGACATAAAACACAGATGGCCCATTGAATCTTTGGTACTAATGCAGATTGTCTTCATTTTCATTCTTTCCTATTTGCAAACAAGTAATGCATATGAATTGCATTTACACCCATAAATGTCACATTCCGTATAAATAAGAAGGTGTGGTTTCTAATCTTAGATTATGCTACTTTCCCCCACATTCTTTACATATGTTGACAGGCAATGGCCATGTTGCCTAGGAATTCTGGGAATTGGAGTCTAAATGCAAACACATCTGGAGAGAACCCAGCTGTAGAAGGCTTCCTAAGTGAGCTGCTAATTTTTGACTTCCAGTTGGATACTCCACATAAGTATACAAAGAGAGTAAGTTTACTACATTGTAGCTCCCAGAAAGAGGTCTGAACCACAGCTCTGCAGCAAATTTTCTCCAACATAAGAGAACAAAAATAGTCCTTGACTTAAAACAATTTATTTAGTAACTGTTTGAAGTTACAACAGCATTGAAAAAAGTGAGTTATGACCATTTTTCATACTTACGAACACTGCAACATTCTCATGGTCACGTGATCAAAATTTGGATGCCTGGCAACTGGTTCATATTTATGACAGTTGCGGTGTGCCAGGGTCATGTGATTCCCTTTTGCAATCTTCTGATAAGCAAAGACAATGGAGAACCGTGTTATTAATTTAACAACTGCAGTGATTCCCTTAACAGTGGCAAGAAAGGTAAAATGGAGCAAAACTCACTTAGCAAATGTCTTGCTTAACAACAAAGTTTGGGCTAAGTTGTGGTCATAAACTGATGACTACTTGTAAAGGGGGAACAGGAGAATCTTAATATCTCAAAAGACATTCAGATATTCAAATTTCTATCAGACATCTGTTCTGGATGGAAAAAAAAATGGTTTCCTGAAGAAAATGCTTTGCAGGCATGGTAGTACGGTCCAAATATGATGGGAAGGGCAGTTTAACAGCTAGAAGATGTGAGATCAGGTCACCTGCAGTAATACTGCTTAATAGACAAATAAGCATATGAATGATTGAGTCCCATGTGCCTGGGCCAGATGCCTCCAGTCCTTAATCCTATGAAGATGGAATTTTCTTCAAGCTTCAGGTAGGTCTCCAAAATATATCTGATCATTCCATTCTGGTCCCAAATGGGAATATTTTGCTGAAGCTCTCCCTCTGATTTAATCCTCCTACCTAATTTAATGTTTTAGCTGTTTTAGCTGTTTTTATGTTTGTTTTTTTTTTAAAAAAACCTTTGTACATTGCCCAGAATCCACTGGAGTTGGGTTGAAAATAATAAGGAATGGTGGAGAAATGGGAAGGAGGAACTGATTAGCACTAGGTGAAGATGAACTGAATGGTTTTTGGTTGAAACATCTACACCCACTCATTGCCATCCTTTCATTGTTAAGCAATTTAACAACAAACTGCAAAGCAGTGAAAGTGAAGAGGGGTTAACATCTGACTAAAAACCTACCTTATAGTTGAAAGATCCAACAAAAAAAGGTAGTACTAGGCAACTACAGGCCAATTACCTGCTTTACCAATAACTTTCAAATTGCTAACCGGTATGGTAGTTGATGCAGTCAAACAGCATCTAGCTGAAAACAAACTCTTTCCACCTGAACAGACAGGAAACTAACCAAACACAGAGGAACAAAAGATCAGCTACTAATTATCAAGGCGATTTTGGAAAACCGTAGGAGTAGGAAGACCAACATGAATGTAGCTTGGATTGATTATAATGAGGCATTTTACTACCTGCCACATGCCTGGATAATCAAGTGCCTAGAAATAACAGGAGTGAGTAGACACATCAGAAGCTTTGTGCAAAGATCAATGATATAATGGAAGGCACAGTTGCTGATCAATGGTGATAGATTGGGGGGGATTAATATCAAGAGGAGTGTTTCAAGCAGAATCATGATCAGTACTCTTTGTTACTGTATTGGTTCCTCTGTCAAAAATACCAAACAAGGAAGCCCATGGTTACCAAACATTCAAAACATGTGCAAGGCAATCCCATCCCAAGAAGATTGCATATACTGACTACATACAATGACATAACAAAGTAGCAACAATGGTGCACTGAAAAATCTGCAAGAAATACCATTTGCTTGTAGGAAAAACTGGTGGGAGCGATAAAAATCCCAAATCCAGTCTAAACTTCTGACTGACTATGCCACCAACCATAATAAAAAATTCTCCCCGCAAGAGCTGGTTGACAGAAGGGTGGATGGGGGGGGGGGGGGTAGCTCCATCTTGCTTGTGAACTCTTGAATTGATTTCACGCTTTCTAACGCAGACAACTAGCTTGTAAAGTGAAGCGTCGTTCTGGCCTCCGCAAAGTTAGGGGGCGCTCTCGAATAGGGCCACAAGAGCGGTAAAGGCAGAAAACAGAGCCAGTCTTTCTTAGTTCTGCGTTGGGAAATGTAGGAAGGGGGAATCGGCTCAGATTGCCCGCGGAGGGAGGTGAGTAAGAAGCTGGAGGTCTTTTCGATGTCTTGCTTTTGTCTTCCTAGGAATGCTTCTCTTAGCATAGTAAAATATCGAAAAGAGCGCCTGGTCATCCATTCTAGCAGGGAGCTACTGCAAGGAGTTCCAGATCTGGGCTGGGGCGCTATCTGACAAAAGACCCGGACGCAGGGACAGTCCGGATTTTTTCCTGGTAGCTGTGCTACGGTTAGAAAAAGTTGCGAGCTCTTTACTTGTGCTTCGGCTTTCCACGTTGGTGATCTTAGGTTCAAACTTTGTTTTCTCAAAGTATGGCTGGGAAACTCTTCTAGGGAGTTTGGCTGCTTCCAGGAAAGCTTGCAGAATTGTTTTCAAAAATGAGATGCCGACATCGTGGTGGTCGATGGAGAATCATCCCCCAGGTTTTCCTCGCTTCCTGTTGTACTTCTTCCTTACCAAGGAAAATCCCTAAAGGAAAAAAGGTTGCACGTTAACTGTCGATGGCTAGTGATAGATCATCTGTGGATGAAAGCCCCCAGGCTGCTAATTTGGTGGAACGTATATTGGTGTAGAAAAATACCAGTCAAACTTTCCAGATTGGCAGATGGTCATCACGACACTTAAATAATAATGTAAGCAAGTATAATGAATGTTGGTCCAAGAAAAATCCATCTGTGACTGATATATATTAACTGGTTTATCTGAACTGGTTTATCAAGAAGATCTTGGTGATCAGCTGGATAAAAACGTCAACCTGGTGTGTAGCCAATATGAAAAAGGCAGATTCCATATTAGAAGTCAAAGGACAGGAATTGAAAATAGGATTGCTAATATAATGAAAATATATGGCAAAGATTACTCTATTATTATTACTTTATTTTAAATGCAGTTTTGGTCATCACATTTTCAGACGGGTTTTACAGAGCAAAAAAAGATGCAGAAGGGCAATCAAAATAATTAGAAGTCTAGAGCAGTTCCCCTATGAAGAAGAATTATAATAGTCTTTAGTTTGGATGATGGAGAATAAGATACCTCAAATGCATAGCATAGACCATATGTCCTTTCTCACAGTTTTAAAACTCAGCGGCATTCCCTGAAATATGCACACCTTTGAGCATCAAATGCATTATTTTCCTGGAATTGTAGGGGATATAGGCAAATGTGGAATACATGCACATGCCTAGGCCACCTCACTTTTTTTCAGCTCCAGAATGCTGGATATCTCTAATTAGGGGATAGCCCAAGTTTATATGCTGAGCCAGGTTTTAAGACCAAAGTGGGAATCAAGTGTATCTCCAGGGGATTCTACTCCATCTTAAAATACTGGTTGATGGCAAGTTAGAGTGGGAGGGGCTATCACCCTCTAATCCAATCTTGTCAGCTTTCCAGATGCCTCCACCATTTGATTCTACAGGGCATCTCCCATGTAATATCAGGATGTCTGCAGATGTAACATGCATTACCTTTATGAACTTCAGCTGCTTCCATAAATGCTTCTGAATTAAACAACTTTTTGATTGATTTGAACTCACAGCTCTGGAACAATATTGTGCCAACTTGTTGGACTCCAGTTCCCATCTTCCCTAACTGATGAACAGTGAAGTAAGTCATAGATCAATGTATCTAGATAACTCAACATTGTGGAAGGCCAAAACACTGGATTATCAAGTGGATCATACTATTAAACTAAGATTAATGGGAAGTTACACAATTTCCTTTATACTAATGTATTGTTCTGTTTAGTTTGGCTATATTGACTAGCAGTGTTTGAATTTCTACCCGACATTGGCAGGAAGTAATCCTGATGTATAATGTTATTGCTGCTTTCTGGAATGTTATGCTGAGGCCCAGATTAAATGCTTTCTGTTTATATGCTATAGTTTGCTTAGGCTTTTTTGTTTGTTTTGTTTTGACAGAAAGCTGCTAAGAAAGAAAAATGGGATAATTATTCAAGGTTTTTGGCTAGCAACCCCCAGGAGGTATCCCATCACTGCATTTTCCAGATTTGGGAAATAATAGACATGGACTTTTATTATTTGTATTTGTCAATTAGATTGCAATTAGAATACAGGATACTAGTGAAGTGTCACACAGTCCAAATATTTCTGCCACAGTAAGATGTCTTCAGCACCGCATCCTCCAGGTGTTCCTCCAGATGTTCCGCATGAAGCACCCAAAAAGAAAGATTATCGAATTCCAGGACTCCGAGGTGCCCAAACTACTACTTTGTTCCGTGCTGTGAATCCAGAACTTTTCATTAAACCTGTAAGAGAATAACAATTATTTGGGGCAGCTGATTTAAATACATCCATATTTTTGCTTGCACATCAGTTGCATAGTTACATGGCTATAGCTATTAACATCTGAGGAATTGTTTGGGTTTGGGTTTTGGTTTAGTATGATATATGAGCCTAATCTTTATATTTTGGATTTATAGTTAACGACTTAGCATTTTATCTAAATCCAATCAATTATGGTTTATTACATTTAAGTAAACCCAGGTATAATATGTTGTTTAAGAGGTCATTTATATTTCACTTCTGATAACTTTCCATTTTTAATTCAGACATAACATTAGTTTTGATAGAAAAAAGTTGGTAACTTGCTAATTAAAATAATATGATATTAAAATACTTTAGCCACTATCTTTTTTTAACATGAATAGGAGAACTATATTGACCTCTATACTCTTACCAGCAACTATTAAGATTTTATAAATGAAGAAGTAATTTGCCTGTTGAATTAAGCTTTCAGAGGCCAGTGGGTATTTCTATAACTGTATTGAATTGTTGATAAAATACTATAAAACCTAATTGGTCATGAATAGGAGCATATTTAAAATGTATGGGAAAACAACATGCAATTCGGATGAGACCCATTTTGTCCAAACAAACATTTCACACTCAAGGAACACACAGTCTCTGTAAAAAAAAAAAAAAAGGCATTGAGGAACTAAAGATGATTAACTATTCATATTTTATATACCTTACTCAACTAAGTCATTTCATTGTAATTTACATGCCTTTTGTTTCATAATAAATCAGGCAAATAGTTGGGAACATTGCCTTTAATGACTTTAAAAAAGCTTGACTCTTAGGGGGCTACACAAATACATTAATGCTGCTATTTTGGCAACAGTACAGACGTATTTTGGTACTGCCTTCAAATTCTCATTCTAGCCTAAAGCCCTGGGCGGTCTTAGTAGTCTCCCTTTCAACTACTAAGCAGGTCCCTCCTTGCTTACTTAGTTTTTCCAAAATCAGCAAGATGACCCAAGTGCTGCCACTTGCTGTGGTTTTTCAAAAGAACTGTTGGAGAACTGTATTCCACTTATACAGAGGACTGCAGCCTTAATTCTAACCATTTCCTTTTCTCCTTGAAAGCTGGATGAAGATGAAAAATAAAATAGGTCATCAGGGCATAGCTTAATAAAATACTTTAAAGACGCATGGAGCATAGAACATGGATTAAATAAAATGTCTGGATTTCAAACTATTTTTTTCATTTTCACAGAACAAAGCAGTTATGGCTTTTGGCCTTGTGACAATTACTCTTTGTGTAGCTTATATTGGGTACTTGCACGCACAACAAGAAAACAAAAAGGATCTCTATGAAGCTATCGACAGTGAAGGAAACAGACTTATGAAACGCAAAACCTCTAAATGGGACTAAAGAAAATTATGGTCATTGTTGATATTAACATGGAGGAAGACTTGATTTTCTGAACGGTGACTTTCAGGATTTTGTCTGAAGCATTAGCATTAATTTTTATACAATAGTGAATTAAAAAACAATTATCCAGTTTAAATATCAGTGTGAAATTCTATTATCTATTAATATTTTGAATAAAGTACATTATAAATAAAAGGAGTACTGTAGAATATGTGTGTCTTATTTCTTATCTATACTGTGTCAATAGATGCTTTAGAATCATTACCAAAACTTCGCTGCCTGATTTTAAAGTTTATTATTAAGCATCAGTGTTTAGTAAGTCACTCAAAAAACATTCCTAAAATGTGTCTTTTGTATAATCATGCAGTTGTGCAAATTTTTAATATTCAAATATTAAATAAGAGAAACTGTGCCATAGTCTCTTCCAAAATAATGTATTTATGATTTAGTGTTTTGAATAATTGATGGATTGATATTTTTCACTCAAGGCAATAAAACTAATCTGTTAAAATATATTTCCATGAGTTACTTCAATGTTTTGAGCTTCCCTCCATGAGTTACTTCAATATTTTGAGCTTCCCTGCATATTTCCATTTAATGGAATATTAAGTTTTTGGTTTAAATATTTGGATAGTAAATATGGTAATAATTCACGTACATTGTTTTAGAAAAGCAAATGAGACTTTTATCAATTATAAAAATATTCCAAGATGCTAAGTAATATTAATTGATGTCTCAAATGCTTTTATGAGCAAAACTTACTTTGCCTAGCAACAGTTACTAGGTGGGATTTAACTCATAACCTCAGACACAGTCATGACAACATAAGTAGTTTCTTAATGAGCTCCTGAAGAAGCAGGTGGATACATATCTTGCCATATAATGGTGGTCCTTTTCTCTTTCTTCCACTGACCATCTTGCCATACAATGCTGAAGCCACCTTATTTATTCCACTGACATGCACAAACTCAAAGGAACACCAAATATAATTCAGCTTTGAATGGAAGAAATTAAGTTTTTGTATCTGCATCTGAATAAGTTACTTCATTCTCTTCAAAGGAGGGAAAAGATCTCATGCAATCATGATTAGAAATCCAGATTTTGATACATTTGTTTGCTGTGCTGTTTGTTCAAAACTAATTCCACCGCCTCCTACACCAGAGACCTTTGACCGGATTAGGGAATATAAACCTTATAAAACTCGGTATTATACACACAAAGATATATTGGGTAAGTCAATCTCCTCAATAACCTATGATGATTCATATATTCGACATATTCTAAAGAATCTGCATACAAGAACATGAACAATCTTAGTTATTCATATGAACAATAAAATGGGAGAAAAAAATAGGAAAAAAGGCTGCAAATATCATTAAGGAAAAGAGCCATCTTTGGTCTAGTAGGGAAGATAGCTTTCTGCTTGATATCAAAAAGGAGGAAAATGAAATGTATGGAGATTTATAAATTTGTTACTTGTATCTAAGTGCGTACAACATCATTCTGTGCTTTTGAATAATTGGATGGTCCAATGGTCCATAATATGGAAAACAGGATTCTTCAACTCAAGGACCTGCGTAAATTATTAAATATTGCTTTAATGGGCTTTGAGTATATATTTTAAATTTCTTTATAATTAATACGTTGATGGAAGAGGCAACTATCCCTGGGCTCAGTGAGAGAGACTGGGTTCAAACATATTAAACTTCCATGTTTCGTTTAATTTAGATTAGATATATTGTGTGAATCCAGCTATGGTGATTCATAAATCCTAGTTTATGACTTAGCATGTATGCGAATATGGACAGTTATACTTTTTCCAACAAACCATGGTTAAGCAAAGTATGGCTTAAGGTGTAAATTTGATGCTTTTGTGTTCACTCATTCAGAGAACACAGCGTTAATCTGGCAAAGGAACCAGTGGCTTTCTTTGGCTTTGAATGGAGAAACTTTTAAGATCAGTAAAAGACTTGGCCTGGCTTACTGTAGTATGCAATATGCCTAATGCTTGGATTTTGCAGTTACACATTATTAATTTTGCCCCTTCAACCCATCCATGACAAAATTAGTGCTATAATTAGTATGCTTATTTATCCCCAATTTCTATGGTATAATCATTGCATCACATGATTATTAATTATTTCTGGCCTGCGTGATCTTCTGATCACTTTGGAAAGAAAACTAGAGCAAACTCGATACCTCTAGTGCTGGTTGTCCAGCAGGGTAGAATGCTTGCTTCAGATATTGAAGTTAACTGCATAAAACTGAAGATCCTGAGTGTCCAACCTGGGCAATTTTAAGACTTGTGAACTTCAGCTCCCAGAATTCCAGCCAAGTGGGGAAGTTGAAGTCCACAAGTCTTAAAGCTGCCAAGGCGGGGCACCCCTTCTGTAGATGGAATACTCTACCAGGATCCCTCAGATGGAACAGCATCCAATGGTACATCATAAATATCTGTACAAATCGATCTTGCCATTGCCATGTAATCTGCTGAGACAAGCTGAAATGTGGAATATTTAGGGTAGAGATAGGGGATTTATGACCTGTGGTGGCACAGTGGTTAGAATGCAATATTGCAGGCTAACTCAGCCCATTGCCAGGAGTTCGATCCTGACCGGTTCAAGATTGACTCAGCATTCCATCCTTCCAAGGTCTATATAATGAGGACCCAGATTGTTGGGGGGCAATATGCTGACTGTAAACTGCTCAGACAGTACTGTAAAGCAGGGATCCCCAATCCCCAGTCTGTGGACTGGTACCAGGCTGCAGCATGCTAGCAACCAGTCCGCACAAACAAAGCCCCATCCGCAAGATGCAGGCAGCACACAAAACCATGCACTCTCCAGTCCACGGAAAAACCTTTTTCCATGAAACTGGTCCCTGGGGCCCAAAAGGTTGGGGACTTTTGCTGTAAAGCACTATGGAGCAGTATATAAGTCTAAGTGCTATTTCTATTTCCATCTCTCCCAAAATTATTGGGTTAAATTCTTATCAAGCCTAATCAGAGACTGGCAGCTTAACATTCATAACTTTTCTTATATGTTTAATTAATATAAGTATGGCACGTTTGATTGTGCACACTAGTCTTCACAAAATGATGGTAATGGTTTAATGCTTTTAAATTAAACTTTTGATTATTTAATGGCATGTGTGACCAAATAATCCATATATAATATATGCTGTGGCCTTCAATTATATTACTTTATATAGAGATCGGAGCAGACCTTAAGCAAGAAGATATAGACCAAAGAGAACAGGAAATACAAAAACGAATAGAAAAAGTGCAAACTAAACTCTTGCTTCAGGTAAAACTATTCTTCTGTGATGTTAAATATAAACCTTCCTGATGTTTACGATGTAATGCAGATTTCCCTTGTGATGCATGTTAATAGATGTTATAGATATATCAGCAGTATTGGTACAAATCAGGTATAGATTTGTCTTAATGTTGTTTAATAATAACAGTTGGAAGAGACTTTGGAGGTCTTCTAGTCCAACCCCCTGCGCAAGCAGGAGGCCCTATATCATTTTAGACAAGTGGCTATTCAGTGTCTTTTCAAAAGCCTCCAGTGATGGAGCACCCACAGCTTCTGAAGACAACTGTTCCGTTGGTTAATTATTCTCACTGTTAGGAAATTTCTCTTTAGTTCTAGTTTGCTTCTCTCCTTGATTAGTTTCCATCCATTGTTTCTTGTCTTGCCTTCCAGTGCTTTGAAAAATAAGCTGACCTCCCTCTTCTTTGTGGCAGCCCCTCAAATATTGAAAGACTACTATCAAGTGACCCCTAGTCCTTCTTTTCACTAGACAAACCCAATTCTTGCAACCATTCTTCGTATGTTTTAGCCTCCAGGGTCCTACTCATTTTTGTTGCTTTTCGCTGCACTCTTTCCAGAGTTCAACATCTCTTCTTTTTTAATGTGGCAATCCTTTTTATAGTAGTTTTTGCCTATACAAAAAAAAAAACCCTTGATAGAATCTAAATCAGGGGTTCTCAGCCTTGGCAACTTTAAGACGTGTGGACTTCAACTCCCAGAATTTCTCAGCCAGCAAAGTCCACACGTCTTAAAGTTGCCAAGGTTGAGAATCCCTGACCTAAATGCTATCTGTCCTTAACCAATAATCTTCGGTTTAAATATCCTATGGATTTCTTCCCAAAGGGTGACAATAAAAGTTCAAATCTAGACCACGTGCTTAAGGTTCCAACTTCTCAATTGCATTTCCAATTAGGCCATGAATTTTACTTTTTAGAACATTGTCTGAGGTGTTCAATATACATGAAGTGGAATTTTATTGTATTAACTTCATTTTAAGTTTAAAAAAGCACTGGAGTTAGCTGAAGTACAGACAGACGCAAATATTTGTAATAATAAAAATAAAAAAAAGCCTCCTCCAGAGGGCTACTCTTATGTTCTTCTCAAATTATGAAGAATTACAGATAGTCCTTGACTTACAATCACAACGGAGCCCAGAATTTCCATTGCTTTTCCAGGCTGTTGTTAAGTGAGTTTTGCCCCATTTTATGACCTTTTGTGCCACAGTTGCTAAGTGAATCACTGCAGTTGTTAAGTGAATCATCAGCCATTAGGCAAATCTGGCTTCCTCTGCATTTGTTGGAAGCGGGCTGGGAAGATTACAAATGGTGGTCACGTAACCCCAGGACACCGCAACCAACATAAATGACATGCCAGTTGCCAAGTGCCTGAATTTTGTTCACGTGACCATGGGGAGGTTGAAATGGTTGCAAGTGTGAACACTGGTCGTACGTCACTTTTTTCACTTCTGTTGTAATCTCAAACGGTCACTAAACAAATGGTTGTAAGTCAAGGACTACTGTAACTAATCTGGGGTTAGAGTTGACTTCTGCTTGGGCAATAACGCTTTCCCTTCTGGAACAACTCTTCTGGAATGGGTTGGGGAGGACACAATGGGAGAAGAATCAATGCCATGAACAATGGCAACTCTGTTGCTAAAGAGTCCTCCTAGCCATTGAGATTGTACCGTGTGATCAGTCCTGCGTGACGTCTTTAGCACAGTTGTACTAACCAACTGCTTCTATTCGCGGCCTGTTTTGTAGGCTGAGGTAGCAAAAGAAGATGCAGTAGAAGATGCTCTTAATCACGCTGAAGCACTACACAAGAAAGATATTAAAGAACTTAAAAAGAAACATGAACAAACATTAGAAGTCAGTAGTAATTTTATTTTTTCTATCCACCCTATGAAATAATAACTCAATGCTTTGGAACTTACATAGACCTATCGTTAGCATAAGAAACCGATTTCTGGTGATTTGAGATTCTTCCTTCTACAGCAGTGTTTCCCAAACTTGACAATTTTAACGCACGTGGACTTCAACTCCCAGACTTCCACAGCCAGCAACGCTGGCTGTGGAATTCTGGGAGTTGAAGTCCACGTGCCTTAAAATTGTCAAGTTTGGGAAACACTGTTCTACAGTATATGCATATCTCATATCATTTCCAAGGGTTGCCTAACCCTTGGGAACCCATTGGCAAGGGGACAGAGAAAAGAAGGTAATAAAAAAGTCCATTCACTTTACAGGTAGTACTGGTCTTACAACAGTTCATTTAGTGACCATTCACAGTTACAACGGCACTGAAAAAAAGTGATTTATGACCGTTTTAAACACTTACAACCGTTGCAGCATCCCCCAGATCAAGTGATCAAAATTCCGGCACTTGGCAACTGACTCATATTTATGACAGTTACAGTGTCCCGTTTTGCGACCGTCCGACCAGCAAAGTTAATGGGGAAGCCAGAGTCACTCAACAGCCATGTTACTAAATTAGCAACTGCAGCGATTCACTTGACAATTGTGGCAAGGAAAGTCATAAAATGGGGCAAAACTCACCTAACGAATGTAACAAATATTTCACTCAGCAAATGAAATTTTGGGTTCAATTGTGGTCGTAAGTTGGGGACTACCTGTACAGAATTCTACTTATTTGTGAAAGTAAAAATAGGTACCAGATCGTTATGAGCACGTAGAAAGTACAGAAGATGTTATCTTTCCCAGATTTTAATCAGGGTCACATATCTGCTCTCACCCTACATTCTAGTGGTCTAAATCTTCTAATTTTTCCCTCCAACATGCTGGGTTTTTACACACAAGGAAGCTTAGGAAAGGATTCAGAGCCTCAACCTTCCTCTGCAGGCATATTCCTTCCAGACTCTTATTTAAAGCAGGAGGAAGAAATTGTAATTCTTTCTTTTGTTCTGATTGTTTGTTCTTCTGATGCCTTTATTGGTGTATTTATTTTTTGCTAAAGAATACGGTGAAGAAAACAAGGACCGAAATGCTGCAGCACCTGGAACTGGAGCTGAAGAGAGAATCAGAAGCTGCTGAGCAGAGGAACACTCACAAACTGCAGCGGATGATGCTACAGCTGGCTATGGAAAAAATGGCAGCTGTAGCTGACGGGAGGCAGGATGAGAGACACAAGGCAGCTGTACTTCTCGCCAAACAGGAAAAGTACTGAGCTTAACTATCCCATGTCCTTAAAAAACAAAAATCAGTCTGATTTCTCATCAGGCATTGGATTTGATCTAGAACAGTGATGGCGAATCTTTTAGAGACTGAGTGCCCAAACCGCAACCCAAAACCCACTTATTTATCACAAAGTGCCAGGGCCACATCAGCATTGTGGTGCCCTGGGGGGGGGGCAGGGAGGCGCCTCTGCTGCCTTTGCATGGGGGTGCAAAAATGGGCCACTGTGCTGCAAGGCGCAAAAACGACCGCTGCCACACCTCGGGGTGCAGATAAAAGGCGCTGCACCACGCAAGAATGGGGCAGGGTTAGTGAGTATCACACAAGCACTAGTCCCGTCCCATTTGCAGTGCGTGCATGCTCATGCATGCATGCATGTAAAATGCTTCCCCCTCCCTTTCCTTCCAGTCCACCAATCGACAATGGTTGGTGAGCTCTGCTCTACCACCTCTACTCGAGCTTGCTAGTCAGCCGCTTCGCCTCCTTTGTGCTGGGCAGGGCTCCTGCTCCGGGTGGTGGCCTGATGGACCTGCTGCTGGCGAAGGTGGCGCGTGTGCCAATAGAGAGGGCTCTGAGTGCCACCTCTGGCACTCATGCCATAGATTCGCCATCACTGATCTAGAATTTCCTGAAGGGAAGAAATCCTCCTCAAACTGCTCTGTGCTAATGTAGAGGAATCTAGTGTAGTAGGCCTTTGTGCTATGCATATAAATGTAGTCTATTCTTTTGCTAGTATTTTAAATAATTATGTACAAGGCCATTACCTTTTGCTAGTTAAAGCATTCTTCTTGCTTTAATCTCTTTTCCCATTTAAGGACAATATGCTGCTAAAAAAAGGTCCCTCTTTATGCTGGCAAAAGCCATATCTGAGATGATGGGGCCTATATCCCTATTTAAAAATTGAATTAACTCATTGCAAAGTGATAAAGGTACTGCTTGAGTCATGCCTCCTCAACTTTAGACAATTATTAGTGACTAATTAGACAGTGAAAACGTTTTGTTCTATGAATTGCCATATATTATCAGAAATCCTAAATACTGTATGATCAGATGTTGAATATATAAAGGAAGCTATACTGGAGAAGAGCAGACTGTGCAATTATTAAATCAGCTGGGAAGGAATACCCATATTTTTTTTTTACTTCTTTTGTGATAAGAGCCTACTCTTCAAAGATGGCTAAAATCACCATCTCCAAATGTAATGGAGTAATAGCAAGAAATAAGAAGCTTTGTAATTTATCTCCTCAACCTTAATTACAGAAATTTCTAAAATGTAAATTTTTTGAAAAAATTAAATGTGTTTCGAAAAAGAAAATTCTGACCTGTCCAGCTGTTATTGTGTCTAGTACAGATTAATAGGCTTTGCAATTTTTCACTGAGTCAGAATAGCCAACTCCCTAACAATGTGTTCATGGGTGCAAGCTTGTGTGAGAGAATAATATGAGTTTTGGCATTTAGATTTTGTCAGACCCGTTAGATCAGGGGTAGGCAACCTTGGCTCTTTTATGACTCGTGGACTTCAACTCCCAGAATTCCTGAGCCAGCCATGCTGAGGAGAAAAGGAGAGGTTTCCATACTGAGCCATGCTGGCTCAGGAATTCTGGGAGTTGAAGTCCACGAGTCATAAAAGAGCCAAGGTTGTCTACCCCTGCGCTAGATATATCAGACTAAGAAAATACAAGTAGTCCTCAACCTGTAACAGTTCATTTAGTGATCATTTGAAGTTACAACGGCACTGAAAAAAAGTGACTTATGACCGTTTTTCACATGTACAACCGTTGCAGCAACCCCATAGTCACGTGATCAAAATTTGAATGATTGGCAACTGGTTCATATTTTATGACGGTTGCAGCCTCCCTGGGTCATGTGATCACCTTTCGCGACCTTTTGACAAGCAAAGTCAATGCAGAAACCAAATTCATTTAACAACTGTGTTACTGAGTTAACAACTGCAGTGATTCACTTAACAACCGGGGCAAGAAAGGTCATAAAATGGGGCAAAAATCATTTAACTGTCTTGGTTAGCAACAGAAAGTTTGGGTCAGTTGTGGTCATAAGTTGAGGACTACCTGTAACTCCATAGGAAGTGCTAAAACTACTTTTCTTGAGGCTGGCTATAATAATGGAATCTTGAAAATATCATTGTGCTGGAATTTCTCCCTCGTAGTAAATTAGGGAGGTGTCTATTTGAGCTGCTTTTGAATATTATCTGTCTGTTGCGGGTTTAAAGTACTGTGTTTCCCCTAAAAATAAGCCCTAGCTTGATTTTTAGGGATGAGCCTAATGTAAACCCTACCCCCAAAATAAGCCGTAGTTTTGGGACGAGGTGCACACCTAAAAATCAAGCTAGGGCAGGGGTGGGGGGTTGGAGATGCCCCACGCACCCCGCACTCACTTACCAGGCCTCCCGTGAATTGATACCTGCCTCTCCTCGCTGGCCCACTTCTTCTGCAGCATCCCCTGGCCTCTTTTCACAGTCGGGCCTTTCAATCCATAGCTCGGTTCTCGGCTGCAGAGGTCTTTCCAGAAGGCCTCTAACGGTGAAATGCAGGCCGGAGCTGCATTCTCAGCTGCAGAATGAAGCTGCTACTTTGGCTGCAGAAGTGGGCTAGCTGGGCAGGTCTGTTGATGCCGCCACCGCGAGGTGAGTGGAAAAGACAGCCTCCCCCACAAATAAGACCTGGTGCCTCTTTTGGAGGCAAAAAAAAATAATAATAATAAGACCGGGTCTTATTTTCACGGAAACACTATGTTTCACACACTCATCCCTCCAATGCCTTGGTAACGTATATTGCATATTTCTGTCAAGGTTATCTTCTTATTCCACAGATTTCACTCTGGGCTTATTCTTTTTTCTTCCCTTCGCTGCCTAAATAATTTTATAATTGAATTAAACAATCTACATAAACCTAAGTTCAAAATCACTTGCGATGGAAATCATTTCTAAACGGATGGTATGTTTTTTCCTTTCATTCATCCAGAAAATTTTTGGAGCAAATCCACCAAGCTGGGGTAATCGCTAATGAAATTTATCAGAAGAACCTGCAACGGTTAGCCTGGGAGAAAAAACATGAATTGGAAACTGCCTTTAAGGTCTCTCAAAAGGAATTTGAGGAAGAGACTAGGAAACTGCTTGAAACTGCTGATAATATTCGCGAGGCTCAGCTTGAAGAAGTGAACGTTGAAGTGAACAGGAAAGAAAGTGAAATCCTGTCTCTGAACCAGCAACTGGAATATATGACAGCCTGGAAAAACAGCCTGGAAGCTGAAATATTAGAAACCAGGGAAGCTTTTCAGAAATACATTAACGTCACATTTCCCCAGCTTGCCCCGGGGCAAGCAGATTTCATCTTACCGTTCCGAAAAATATCTGCATTCACAGACTCTGGGGTAGAACAGTAAGATCAATATCCATCACGAAAGACTCTCTGTGGAGTAGTGCATTGGCTCCAGAGATGTCAATGTGGCATAAGGGAATGCGCAGGTGCTGGGAAGAAAGAAAGAATTCCTCTGTAGAATGAACATGTGGCTGAAAGGGAACTTAAATGCTTCTTTATTCATGGGCCAAGAACAAACCAATGCAGCATTAGGTCCATAGCTCAAGGTTAAAATATGGGGTTCTGACATTTGTGTATCAAGGTAGTCCTCAACAACCACAGATGAGCCTAAATTTAAGCAAGACTCACGTTAAATGAGTTTTGCCCCATTTTACGACCATAGTTGTTAAGTGAACCTGGCTTCCCCATTGACTTTGCTTGTCAGAAGGTCGCAAAAGGTGATCACATGACCCAGGGACACGACAACCGTCATAAATATGAGTCAGTTGCCAAGCGTCTGAACTTTGATCACATGTCAGTAGGGATGCTGCAAGGGTCATAAGTGTGAAAAATGGTCATGTCACTTTTTTCAGTGCTGTCGTATCTTTGAACAGTCACTAAATGAATGGTTGTGAGACGAGGACTAACCTGTACAACAAATTCTGATTTCAGTATTTCAAATATCAGTACTGTCAACTGGAAGTTCATATGGTTTCAAAAATATGTGAAATCTGATCACAGCTAACAACAAATTTACGCACAATACATTTTGGGGAGCAGCGTCAGCTTCCCTCATTTTCATAACTGCTTTAGCTTGCTGTATTGTACATGAGATTTAAATTGCTGATTCTTTGGGTTAAATAATAACCTCTGTAATATTATATGATTTTTTAAAATATTACCTTACCTAGTCCATAACCTACTTTAACCTTTCTACTGTACATTCTGCGCAGCTTGTAGAGCATGGAGGCCTCAATACTACTGTCAAATCCATTTTTATGGTCACTCAATTCTCCCCTCCCCCCCCAGCAATGCAAAAATTAAATTCTTTGGTTGTAATCAATACTTTGCTGGAGAACGCTATGCTAAAGTCTATCATACACCTACCTCCACAAAGTTCTTTTCCAGGATTGCTGGAAGTGCAAAGTGCTTCCATTTTATGAAAGGAAGGAAACTTTTTAAAAAGTATCAAAAATCCAAATAGTCAAATAACCAATAAGATGGTTTAATAAGAAGTCATAATGTTAGAATCCAGGTTAAGTCTTAGGTGATGAAAGCTATCTAGGATGTGACTTATGGCTGAGTCCATGCAGTGATGTCAGCCTTTTTTTGAGTAAGGGGGTTAGTCCTCATTTCAACAAAAGGATATTTTGTGTACAGCAGTGAGCCTCACACTAGTTACACTACCTGTAATATTTGAGCCCTACTCTAGGGCAGTTTTGCATGAGTATGTTAAAGTGATTCGACACTACTGGATTATTTGAGTAAGGTGGGGAGGTGGGGAAGCATTCCAGAGGGCAGATGCCATCACTGGGAAGGCACACCTCCTAAATCTCTTTGAATGAGAATGTTCCAAGGAAGAGATCTAGAACATGCTCACTTTGTTAGAGTATATAGAGGAGAGGAGAGAAACCGCCAGAGACAATTGGTCGCATAAATAAATAGCATAGTCCGGTGCCATGAATGGCTTTATAGGTGACAATCAGCACCTTAAATTGCACTCAAAAGCCTCCATAGAGCCAGTGCAGCTTGTAAAGTAGATGTGTGACCAGGTCTACCTGCACTGTTGAATTCGACACCAACTGTAGCTTCCAGACAGTCTTCAAGGCTAGCCACATTATGAGCACAATGCAGAAGTCTAACTGAGAGAGATGACTAAGTCATGCGTGGCAATAAGCAGTGCCTCCAGGTGCCCGGAATGGATGCAATTGGTAAGCGGGATAGATGAATTTCCAATATTGGCCCCCCGATTTAAACTGCATGTGATTAAAAGGCTCTACAGGTAGTTTGTTGTGGAAACACAGACTGAACTTGGGACTTGCCAAAAAAACCCAACTAGGAACATTACAGGTAGTGAAAAACAGCTTCAAATATTTAGTTAGGAAAGGGGGAGGCACACCCTGAGAGCAGAATCCTGGCACTGCTTATTAAAATATATTCAGATTCTCTCTCTCTCTCTCTCTCTCCATTACACACACACACACACACACACACACACACACACACACAAACTTTTCTTGGGAGAGGGGGGAAGGAGAGGAAGAGGAAGAAGGAGAAGGAGGAGGAGGAGGAGTTTCCATTTAGGATTCCACAAATGAGAGTGATTACTTACCTGGAAGAATCCTAGGAAAAGATTTATAATAACTGTACTACCAAGTGCCTGATGACCAGAAGGAGGGAGAGAGTTTCGCTGCCATCTAGTAGTCTTCCGAAGTTTCAAATGGTGCCTCTGCTTAGAGATCTCGAGGGAATCTTGTCATTTGGAGGGGTATTTTCAGTATCCATAGTACTTTATAACCATTAAAATGTTTAGAACAGGATGTGCATCTTCGCGCCTGCAGTTAGTTGACGGAGCTTATTTACCGCATCTCTAGCTACCTGACACGTGTCTATTAAATGTATATTAGGAATGTATACAGTCTGCAGCTTATGACGAAACAGCCAGTCTTTCTCCTCAAAGTGTGAAATGAACACAAGTATCTTGGAATAAAATCAGGCCATTGGTCAGGAAGGTAAAGGATGAATCCCCCAAATATAAGGGGATTCGGCTGAGATGCCGACTTAGGACGACGCGGAGAAGGAAAACAGCCACCATCAACCCGAAGAAAGGACAGAAGACAGGCAGAAACTCGTTTAGCCCCGCCCTTCATTCGGGGCTATCTGAAAGGACATTGGCTAGAGTCTGCGATCTCCATGGAAATGAAGGATTGGTTCACGGATCAACACGCTTCTTGGGAAAGAGGGTTGCTCCTGCCGAATGGAAAAGACGGAATAATTGATCGTGGAGAAGGTAGGAGTGGAAAGTAATTCCGCCTGACCTTCCTCTGGGGTGGGGGGGAATCGTGGTTTCGTCAGAGTGGTTAAAAAAAGAACTTCTGTAAGTGAATAAATAACCCTTAGTTTCCCACCTATAGATCATCTGAATGCTCCATCTTTGATTTTTCAGGTGGGAAGCTAACAAAGTTGCTGCATTGCACGTGTCATGGATTTGGGAAGTGGGCAGTGAGAACAACGAGGAAGCAGAAAATAAATGGTCTTAATCTACATTGTTAGAAACATCGTGGTACGAAATTGGAAGTGCCATGCTATAAATTTTGCGCATGTTTTTTTGATTACTAAATCAGAAATCTGAAATCATAATGTTTTGATATTTTAACAGTGTTCTGGGTGGATACTGTATTGTAAACATCCTACACTAATACTGCAACTGTAGATGAACCATAAGAATTCATTTAATTAACTCTTTTGGGTTTAGAAATAAGTGATCAAATCTGTTAGTTAAAATTAGTTTTAATTAGTTAACTAGAATTATTTTTAAAAGCTAGTTAAATGGAGAAAAGGGCATTGGAAGACATGAAGTAAGAGTTAATCTATGGGTAGCATTGACGAAGATCACTTCATCACTTGCTAAGCATCCCTTCACTTGCTTAGGTCGTTGGCTTTCTGCTGATACTGGCAGCAACACTACTATTGTGATATGATGCCCAAAATGTTGAAATCACAATGTATGGATGCAGGTTGTTGATCCATCTTTCTAGGACTTTGGATAGGTAAACTCCCTCAGCAGTTGGAGATATAAAAGATTGAGTTGGAAATACAGTATCTTGCGTGGTACTACAATTCTTAAATTGTCAGAGTATCAAGCCATTGTCTGCTTGGTATGACAAGCTTTATACAACAAACAAGCTCTTTGGGTAGACTTTTCTGATCAGTTTTCTTGATGGCCATTAATAATGCTGGTTTTTTTTGTTTTTTTTTGCTAGGATATCCTTGAAAGTTTGATAGGTTGGGGGACTTTAAATGTGCAGTATTGTCAATAAAAGCAAGTTTGAAAATATTAATATGACAAATGTCCATCTTCCTTTTTTATTGCTGCAGAATGGCTCACTCTCAAGCTGAAAATGTCATCAAGAACATCATCCGTGAAATAGGGCAAGAATGTGCAATAAACGGACAAAATGTAACAGAAACTCTGGTAGCATTCATGGTAATGGCATAAATAATGAATCTTGTCTATTTAAATTTGGGGCGTTTAGCTATTTTTAACTAGAGGCGCCTACCTGGTTTTTGAGTGGTGTGCTGGGACCGTGTGCTGGGACCGTATAGAAGACATTAAATTACATAAATGTTTAAATATATTGTTTTTAAAAAGTTAATATTAGTATCCTGAATTAATTCACTACAGGATGAAGTCCTCTTCATTGAAGATTATGGACCTTAATCTAATATTTGATCCAGTGGGAGTTGGTAGATAGATATTTTTCAAATTCCCATTTAGGGAAGAGAAAATAACTGACCCAAAGTCATCCATCTGGCTTCTGTGCCAAAGAATAGAATTCATGGCCTCCCAACTTCTAAGCTGAATGTGGCTCTCAGTATGGGGAAATAGTGACAGCAATTTAAAGTTTTCATCATTGATTAAGGAATAAAATATGATACTTGCTCCTATCAACCAGTGACACAATATAGCTTCATCTTTTTTCTCATGATTCTAATCTAGTGATGAAACCATCATTTATTAATCTTAGACCTTGTTACGGTGCAAACATAAAATTACTGCACTGGTGTTGAATCTTGTTAAATTAAATATAAGATTTAAATGTAAAATTTAAATTAGGCATTGCTAAGTACTCTTTAATCCTAAATAAGTGGAAAGGAAACAAATTAATAAGGAAGCTCCTTCATCATTTTATAGGTGAAAGCTGTTGTACTGGATCCAAAGAATGGATTTAATGTAGATAAAACTCTAACAAAGGCTGATGTACAGAAACTTATTCAGGTAAATACCTGGTGTGGAACTTATGCAAAAGGATTCTGTTCGATTTTATATATGTCCAACAAAAACATATAACCCTTTTTATTCTTGGGAGTGATGCACCGGCATAAAATTATTCCTAAAAATTAAAAATTATGGGACTTTGAATTTATGCAAGTTTGGATGTGAGATTCCCGACTCTGTCATCATCCCTTTACAAGTCTCTTCCCTTCACAAGTCCTTCATCCCTTAGAGATTACCAGGAGTAGTGTCAGCTGTCAGCTGTGATTGGCTAAGTTGTAGCCAGAAGCTTTGGAGGAAAGGGGACAGTCCTAACCAGAAGACCCATATACTCATTGTAGTGAGATGTGAGTAGTCCATAGGCAGTACTAGCATCCCAGTGCAAGATCAAGAGAATCCTTGACAGATTGTGAAAGAGCTGCACAAAAGAGGAAGCCAGTTTGAGCTACATGAACAAGTGGCCAACCCCCTTCATTATCAACCAAGCAAGTTGCTCTGAAGAAAAATAAGGTTATAAAGAAGACATATGTTGCCTCATGAGCGAACCAGCCCAGCAACATCTGTCACAGCTAAGAGAAGGAAGAGCAAATATTTGCAGATGACTTTATGACAGAAAGAGGGAGGAAGTACAATGTTGCAGTATCATTACAATTTCTTCTTAAAATAATCTGATATCAATCAGTTATTAGATTATTTTCTAACTATACATTGGAACTATCCCTACTGTTCCTCAGGACCAGGTCTGTGTGTAAAAAATGTAATGAAAATGTGATTAATATGTTACATTCAGTGTTTTCGACCATAATGCTTTGAATTTAAAAATCATCCTCATACAAATTTCTAAAAGTAACTACACAAATCAAGCTTCAGCCTTTCTGACCTGTGTGGGATATCCAAAGAATGAAGACGTAAATTTCCAAATGAAGTAGAACTGTTTTAAGGCAGATGGAACTTGTCTTGCTAGAAGTTTGAGTGTGTTGAAGGACTTAAAAGTTACATGAGATTTTCCTTATAATTCTTGCCTGCTTTAGTAAAAAGAAGAAGCTGATACGTAATAGTAAGAGCACTAATAATAAAATACAATAATACAGTATATTGTGTTGATTTTATGAGATTTATCCAAGATGTCCTATAGTGTTGTACTCATGAACTAGGTTTCTTTTTTACCAAAACAATATATCAGCAGCATGCAGATATAATATATGAGATTTGCCTTGTATTTCCATTGGAATGATAGTATTTGATTCCAGTATATAAACCTTGGGCCAAGCGATTAATAAATGTTTCTGTATCTAGGAAAATACTGTTTTCATCATTTGCAAGGTAGCTTGAAATGACTTATTTCCACAGTGTCTCTTTTCAGCTTTGTGTTGACAGACTTCTTGATGTTAAAAATCCATCCTTGAACACAATTAAGATGCAAGTTTATTTTGATATGAACTACACAAATCGAGGTAAGTGATTTGTGGCAAAGTTGTATATTGTGAATATATTACTCTGGTACAAGTAGACCTCGAGTTACCACCACAATCAAACCCAAAATTTCTGCTACTAAGTGAGATGTTTGTTAAAGTGAATTTTGCCCCATTTTAAAACCTTTCTTGCCACAGTTGTTAAAAGAATCACTGCAGTTGTTAAGTTAGAAGCACGTTTGTTAAGTGACTCTGGCTTCCCCCATTGACTTTGCTTGTCAGAAGGTCGCAAAAGGGGATCACATGACCCCGGGACACTGCAACCATCATACTGGTAAATATGAGTCAGCTGCCAAGCATCTGAACTTTGATCATGTGACCACAGGGATGCTGCAATGGACATAAGTGTGAAAAATGGTCACAAATCACTTTTTTCAGTGCCGTTGTAACTTTGCAAGGTCACTGTTGTAAGTCGAGGACTACCTGTAATGCATTCTCATTCATGCTTAGATAAAATTTAGATTTTAATAGGTCTTCTTACCTAGTAAAACCTTCATTTTTGTTTATCCAAATATTTATAATATTAATAGGGAGAGTAAAAGAGTAAAATTAAATACTGTAATACACAATCACATGCACAAATGAAAACAAGGAAGTTAGAAATTAAATGTCTTCAAGATAACCAACCTATACTTTTCTAGCATTAGATTCATAGTCTTGAAATCCTGAAAACATTATAAAGGGAAAGATGTCTCTGTGGGTTTTACTCCATTAGTCATAGTCAATTTTAGGGGGAGATGCTCATCTCCGTTACTTTAAGCCACTTTAGCCAGCACTGTCCAAAGACATTTCCACAGTCATGTAGCCAGCATGACACTATGCTGCAGTGCATAGTGAAACACGGTACCTATTTATTTACTTGCATTTACATGTTTTCAAACTACTATGTTGGCAGGAGCTGAGGCAAGTGATGGGAGCTTACTCCATCACATGGTGGTAAGGCTCAAACTGCCAGAGTATAGACCTTCTCTGATCTTTTAAAGCTACTGAGCCTTTTACAGATGGCACCTTGATCCACAAAAAATGTCTCGTATGTATCCTGACTTGCAGCCTAAATGTTGGAGATGTGGATGTTCGGATGCTACTTATTACCATATCTGGTGGTTATGTAAAAATATAAAAGCTTTTTAGATTAAAATATGGTGGAATATTCAAAGAATTTTCAGAAGAAGGATAAAATTTACCCCACAATTGTTTTTGTTAGGTATTGTTTCTGATTGTGACAGTAAAGAGATTATATTGATGTTAAATTTAATTACAGCGGCCAGGTTGTTAGTAGGGCAATGTTGGAAGAAGGAATCTTTGCCTACATTGCAAGAGTGGTTTTTTAAAGTTTCTTATTTGGCGGAAATGGCAAAGATTTTGGCTTTCTTGAAAGATC